TCAAAAAAACTGTGTAATAACATTCTTATTCTTTTAAATGTTTGATCTTTTATTATTTCATTTATTATGCAACTTTTATGTACTGAGTAGTCCTACAGGCAGTTAAAATAAATGACGCAATATTGAAAACACCCTTTATATTCTGACTGTTTTGCTGAACGCGATCAGATAGAAAAGTGATTATGAAATTTTAAAAATTTACTCATTTAGAAGTTTTCGGGAAATCTGAAACAGCTTCGTATCAAATATCCAGTTCATTGAATGATTGTGAAATCGAAATACTGACAATAAAAAATTACTCCCTTGTTGATACTTTTGAGAACCTTCACATCCACTTGAATAGAGTATTAAATATCATGTAAATTGTTATTTTGCTTGAACCATTTTTACAGGGTAAAATAGCAAGGTACATGATGAAAACTGCTTCCGTTTTCGGTTGCCAAGGTTCGCCGGCTGTATATACTTTTAATCTAAGAACAGCATTTTGTTCTGGCTGTTGAACTCCAAAATATGCCACACTACATTCTTAAAAAAATAATCGATTGATATGAACTATAAGGGCGGCAAGCAGGCGAGCATCTACCAGAAAAAAAAACTAATTTAATCTTTAATCGTTTCGGTTGGTGTTTGCCACCCTAAGAGCCCGTAAAAGTATATCTCTTTTTGAGTTATACAAAATATTTCGACGAGGTTAGGATTTTTACTTCCTATACCAAAACTGGCGTGTTGTAATCGCAAAAAATTTCGAAATTGAGATATTATGTTTTTGGATATTATATGACATGTACGAGTACACCACGAAAAAGCATGTCACTCATTTCCGTCGGTTTGTCTATCGATCTATCTGGCTGTCGGTCTTTCCGCTAATTTTATAACCGCTCGGATTTTGATGAGATTTTCGGACAAGGTTACTACTATGCTAATAATGAAAAAGTTTCGTAGTTTTTGAAAACAGGTGTAGTGGCAAACACACTAAAAAAAATAAAATTCGCTTAAACCTCCTTTTTCTACGTTTTAGAGGCTCCTGATCATCGCGGAAAATTTTTTAATCCAAAATCCGCATTGCGTGCAGGACGAATGGGTAACAAAATCCAAGTGGTCTGGTAACAGTCGTGATTCGTGATTTATAAATGTCAGTTACTAAATCACAGTTCGTGAAATATCGGCCACCACTAACATATACAGCTTTTGCTAATCATTGTGGCATAGTAGAATGAGATAGTAGTAATCTTCATGCAAAGCGTTTCATAGGCCATGGAGCTTAATACGGTTCTATTTCATCCTACCGTAGGCGATCTCTTCTATAAATTACTTTAATTGCAGTCATTTACTTCACTAATGGGCTTTCATCTCACCAATGGTAACGCTACTGTCGTGTTTCGATTTTTGCCGGACTTTTTCGTGGCAATAAACTATGCAGAATTCAATGCCGTCGATGGGATGGTTGATATGGGTGGATTGCGATTGCACGCTGCATTTCATACATCATATCGGCGAGGTTTATGAATCCTCATAGACCAAATGTCACGTGACGTGGCTCGAATTAGTTGCAAAGGAGATTGTCCACAGGAGTATTACGGGCTAAAATATTGGGAGCTGCTCGGATGGTAGACAGTCAATACTAACTCTCAAGTATTACAAACATAATTAGAATAGTACTGTTATATAACTTGGAAAATATTGCTCGGATTTGGATGAAAAGGTTTTTAGTGTTTAAAAATCCTTGCATTGGCGGCGGGGAAAAAGGTCTAAAATGGAAAAAATAAATAGCGTTTCTTGACGTTTCGGAGGAATCTGATCAATTTTGAGAAATGTTTAGCGGTCAAAATTAGAGGGTGGGGTGGTTTATGTCTCAACTTTTCGGTATTAGTATATTTATACGCTCTCAACTCCGTAGTTATACGCACCTATTAGTCATACATATTTCTTACATCATATTTTTCTTCGTACATTTGTCTTCAAGACTTAGAATCATAGAGAAGTGATTTCGATACGCATCTCCCTCTGCTGTCTGGGCTCAGCGCCTGGCGTGTATGATCTGCTTGATTGTTCTACACGAACTGCGGCGGTGGGCTTTATGGTAAGGGGTAGTTAAAGAATGTCTGTAGAATAATTGTGTGTTTGATGACTTGATCTGTTTCTCTATTGTACATATTCATGTCTAATTTTTATCTCAGGGGGTTTAACCTGTGCTGAACTTAATCCTTTATGACCTAATGACGGCGTTGCCTAGCAAGTGCAGAGCCCACCTACTTGACGTCATTTTTCTTCATTTCCACATTCATATACAGGGTGACTTCGAAGTTGAGTCATTGATTTTAACAGTGTGTAGATCTGATCAAAAGAAATGTTTTTTTCCTTTACCATTTTTCTGGTAAAATTAAAGTAACAAAGTTATAGCCCTTTGGAAGTTTGAGTACCGCCCTGTCTCAATAATATCATGTGTTCGTGTTTGGCAACAACGGTTCATCGCATCGGAAACAAAAAAGCGAAAGAATTTGGAACGATGTTTTTACGATTACAATTCAGTTCAGTTATACATACAGTCAGTTTCAGTCGCGTGTGAATAGTGTCTGTTGCGTGGCTCAAACGAAATAAAAAATGGCACATGTTTATGCGGATCGGTTTCCCAATCGAGTGCAACCAACCCCTCGTGCCTTTGTTAATGTAGTACAACGGGCTCGTGAATCAGGTGACTTAAGACCTCACAGGGGACCTCACGATCAAATACAGGTCCGCACTGAAATACTTGTCGGGAGGATACTTTATAAAACAAGGTAAAATTTTTTTTAATTTTTTTTTTATTTTTACACACATATTTTGGTTTATCTTCCTTCTACAATCATTATCTGAAAATTAATGACTCAACTTCAAAGTCACCCTGTATAGACAATAGTCTGAACGCTCTTATAACATGCTGAGATGAGCGAAGCAATCATTGCAATTTTAAAATTGCACCGCGCAAAATCAGCAAAGCCCAGGATTGCATGAGGATGTCATTCCCGCCCCCAAAAGAACGTCCAATCCTCCAAAGCGGCCAGAGAGAATGAGCATATCTGTTATTTTCTAATGTACCAGACATGCCATCCACGTCCATCTCCCCTAAAAGATCTATACCAAAAGGCTAGTTGTTTATAGATCTGAAGTGCCAGAAATAATACTTCGACATCTAAAGAGAACCATGTTGTTTGTCCTGTGAGCAAATAATGTAAAGCACAACAGTTTGGAGTTGAGATGGCGAAGTAAAATGTCTGCGCATTTGGTATCCAATGACAAGCCAGAAGAAAAAACAGGTAAGTAAAGAACACCGCTGACCTAATGGCAAAAATAACTACTTACTGAAAGAGCCCTTTACATTCTGCTCATCGCAGCCATGACAGCTCTGTTAAAATAATGCACGCATGATTTTTTTAAAACATGTATGACGATGCGTCTGGCTAACTATTCCCAGATAATTGCTGAGCTATCTAAGTGAATAGGTAACGAAATGCTACCTATCTATATCCAGGCAAAAGGTTTGGGTTGCTACTGGCATTGAGACGTGATGTTGTCAGCCTTGTGACCTTGAGTAAGGCATGTAAACAAGAGAATGAGCAGTTGCTTTGCAGCTGCACTATCAATAACAACAATCAATATAGGAGAGCGTGGGCCTAGAATGATTAATGTAAGGAAAACTCCACTCATTCATTTCACCATTTTCTCCAATAGTTTATCGTTGTCTTCCCTAAGGAAACCTTTGGGAAGATGTACGTGGAACCTAATTGCTGTAATCTCTGCGTCGTCCAATATGGAGGACAGAATATTATCTGTCATCAGGAATGTCAGGTACTCGTGAAATAAAATTGGATATTATTACGGATACTATTCGTAATAGGAACTCGCAAACCCAGAAAAATTATTACCGGTATTTATACCTTTATGTCATGTTTATTTTTCAGGGAATGAAGGTATGGTTAAAGCCAATGCAGTCATCAGAAAAAAAATATTGTATCGAGTGATGCCATTGAAAATTTTCTTTAGAATCCCATTTATTAGGTATTTCTTTAATTCCAGGATCATAACTTATATAGTATATAACCAGATCACCACCTCCCATGCCAGTTTTGGATGAGAGGTCTGGAGAATTTCTACAAAGGACTTACTGGAACTCAGGCCAAAGTGATACGATCTCAGCTAACTATCCTTCCTCTAACAAACAGGGTGACCTCCTGTCTCCTAGCGCATGATGTCAGCTTTTTCTGGCGTCCCTCCAATATGAGAAATATTGCACATTCGATTTGAAAAACGCAACGTAAATATTTTTGCATATAGATAAACTGACTGCACAATAAATATTTGTTTTTTAGAGTTCCCAAATGTAAATCAAATCTTGTCACATGCCTCTGCTGCGACCCGAACAACTTGATTTGTGTATCAATTTCATGTGCATTTTGCATTACATTCGCTACAGGGGCTGCTCAAAAGATCATAATTAGTTATAAATCACATATACCTAATAAAGCCCAACATTCAACATTGTCAAGAAGATAAAACACGCGTTGTAAAAAGTAATCAATAGTGTGCTACTTATGTTGGTAAGATGACACAAGAAATCGCGATCCCGTAACGGCGTGCTCATAAATATTTATTTTTTTGAGCTTCCTAATGTAAAACAAATCTTAGTCGCATGCATCTTGTAAGTCATCTTGGATTATGTTCGCTACAGGGGCTGCTCAAAAGATTTTATTACATACCAATCACCTTTGAATATTGTCATTAGTATGAGTAAAAGTGAAGGTTGCAAAGGAGTATAATAATCAATAGTGTAATCAATAGCAAATACCATGATTGTAACACTGCTGAAGTGGGTGGGTCGTCCTCTATGGATCAAAATATTAAAGCCAAAGGAATAAGAAAAACTTCATGATGAGGACAAATGTACGTGAAAACTGTGTGTCATGACTTGCCTTCGAATGAAGAACCACTTAACACTCTAGTTAAATTTTGTTTTTCACACTTACCAGAGATATCTGGTATCCTGGATTGGTAGAAGAAACCGCCTGTCCTCGCTAACCATTCTTGAATATGGATTTGTTGTTGGAGATGATGCGATTGACCAGCGTGTGGTCCACCGACGGGAAAAGGCGCCTTTTGCACAAAGTCGAAAGAAGGAAATCCAGGGGTCTATAAAAAATGGGTTTTTAGAGAATTACATCTTAACGTTACTAAGGTTCTAATCAACTTCAACTCGACTATACCTTTGCTAAGAAGCAACGTTTAGATTATTCGGAATTCCGGATAAAATTACCGTTATCAAATATTTGGAGTAATTTTGTATCCCTCCACTGGAACGACAACATCAACTATTAAGAACCTTGTTTAAGTGACAATAAGATCCTTACCGCATGAGGCTGCCCTTGGAATCCATATACCGTTCCAGCAGCACCATTGGGATGAATGTAATTCAATAAACCTGGTTTTGGAACAAAGGTGGTTGTTGTAGCAGAAGCAAGATCTTCACTTCCTGGTGATATGGGAGGACTTCGGGGACTTCTACTTCTGAAACAGATAATGAAACACATGAACATTGCTGTTGTGACGTGATGCCATTACTATCCGATGTAATGTTGTAACGGTAAGTTATTGAAAATTTTATGACAACTGGGTCGATGTCCGTAGCAAATGAAATTAACACATACTCGTAGTAGATGTACATGAAAAGATATCTCACTGCTTGTGAATTCTACAGCTCCAAATTGAACATCTTATTGGCATCCACACTAACTACTGAAAGTCTTTAATTTAATCCAATGTAGGAAACCCCAAGCATTGACTAACTTTGGATTTTCGGCTATCTATGCAGATAAAAGTAATATGAGTGATAGTTCTGACTCTAATTGTTGCAGCTAGGCATGCATGAGCCTAGCTAAGTGATGACGACGTATTATGGAGATACAGCAACAATAAATGAAGAGTGTATTTAGATGTTTGAGGATAATTTCACTCTGGCACCTTTCCTTAAGCCTATGGAACTATGGACCTCATGCTGATATCTAATTACACATATACGGTTGTAACTGATTACCAGTACCCATTCATTCGAGTCAGAATAATGTGCGTTTGTGGAACTGTAGCTTTTCTGATGATAGATGGATCAGGGCTTAGATAAAATTTCAACTTGTGCGCAAAGCTAAGCTATCGAGCGTTTATATTATATGAATGTTTTCTGTTATTGTTAATATCAAGTCTGTTCTAAACTTACGCACTCCACTTTCAAAAAAGTACTAGATACAATTTTGAGCTTTCTGGACGGGTTTAAAAGTTTCAGCTCGGCTTGTCATACGTGATGAGGGTAATTTCAAAGGCAGATTTAATTCTGCGCTTATCAAGTATTGGGTTTTCTCCTGTCTAGAATCAAACAAGGGAACGTACTCCTGTAATAATTCTCTCCAACAGTATAGGAGGTAAAGTATACGCAAGAAATTATTAGTCTAGTAAATTTAGTCCTGTCCTTTACTTCTGCCGTATCTGCCAGTCTGATTATGGCTTTTTTGATGACCTCTTGACTCTCTCATTGGATTCCATTTTTAATAAACATAGTTTTTTATATGTTATTCTTAATCTTTCCAATGATCCTGGCGGTTTTCCAAAAAATTATCGCATCCAGAAGACTAGGTTTGCAGTAGGTAGGCTGGTATCTAAAGGAGATATCCATATTTATATCTCCTAAGTGACATTATGTATTCACTAAATATGTAGTAGATATTCGAGTATCTACTATTGGAGATCCACTTGAAATAAAGTCCGTAAATAGTGAAAACTATGGTTATTCTATATAGTTCCAGAATCCCAGCAGTTTAATAAACTATAACGAATTATAGATGATTCACTATTTCCCAATCCAAAGCGACAAAATCTCAGGCTAGCTTCGGAACAGATTAAACTGAAAGTCCAGTGTCAATGTATTTGATGCCATTGTTTATGAAATAGGTATGCCAGTCTGAAATAGCGATACTATGAAATGCCACTAGGTAGTATGTGACCAAAGTGTTTCCCGTGTTTTAGGCATACGTTTCTGAAAAAAGCGAACCTATCTGTCAATGTCAAATGATAATCTTTTGGCTACTTACCTGATTGATGATGGTGAGATGCTTCGAGATGTGTCTGGGGTAGCCGTTCTTTCAGAGGTCCTTTCGTTGTTATTCTTCGAGAGCAAAGCATCAATGTAAAAGGAGCTTTTGTTATCCTGATGTATTTTTGTATCCATATTTAAAGGTTTAGTTTGGTAGATCATCGAATGATCTCCTAAGTACTGCGCCGCCATTTCCACGTATTGGTAGCTTGATTGTTACGACGATATTGAATGTCACTTCATCATTTTCACTAACATGGTTTGATTAAAACCTATTATAAAACTCTTTCACAATCAGCAGAGTGAGGCTGCTTAGCTGTTGTTAGTTCAGTTTACCAGTTGAGCTTCTGAGTTACATCAGGCGATAGTGTTAGTTGTCAATTCCATCATATGGATTTTCTTATCTTCCTCTTTGATGTTTGAGGAAAGAATCTTATCTTCCTTTTAATCCACTGCTCGATCTTAACACTCCGAATACAGTTCAACAAATTGATGTCTACGCGTAAGTTCACTATAGATCCACGATCAGTAACACATTTGTCCTAGCAGAAGTTTCAATTTTCTATTGTAGCACCTAGCTTGCCTGGATTTATATTTTCTCTCTAAGATTAGCACTAGCTAGAATACTGGAGTACAAAAGCCTTCCCACTTCTCCTCGTTCCGGTTTTTTTTAAACGTAAAATGGCAGTTAAGAATTTCAAGATTCACGGTTAGAATAACTTTTTTCAAATATAAAGGGGTCACTTTGACACTCATGTTTAAGCTCATTGTGGGTACTTTATAACCCTGGAATATAAAATTGCTATCTTTCAAGATGGCAGAGTGACAGACTGTCAAAGTTTAATGTTCTTCTTTTTGAAGGGCTTATCCGAATCTATGACAAAATATGGAGCACTCCATAGAAAATATGCTCATTTTTTAATGGAATGCCTGGTATGTTATTGCGCATTCAGATAAGCTCCCTAAAAAGAGAAAATCTTGATAATGAGCTGTTGAGTTATAAGTGATTCAATGAACAAAAAATAGTAATTCGGCCATTTTGAAAAGTAGTATATATATATGCCTCTAAAAACACCTATAAGAAGCTCCAATATGACCCCTGATTCCATTTGAAAAATTGCCTCACGATTGGGCCCAGCAACCATCTTAAAATGTTCAACCTTTACGTTGGAATGTGTCCTTCATAACCCCGGATTTTAGCTGCCTAACTTGTCGCGTTTGAAAAATAATGGAGGAGCCTTTTTAAAAAGCAGTGTATAACAAACAAAAAGGCTATTCATGGAAACGATGTCAAGTTCGTCTGAGTTCTCTATTTGACATTTTAATTTACATTGTGGACTTTCTGATCGTACTACCAAAATAAATCGATGTTTCAAATTTCCTGCGAACTTTATGAACAGATATCAACATAGAAGAGGTCAAACAATAGTAATCCAGATCTTGCCGCACCATTTTTTTGATCATTTTATTTAATCCCCTCCTCTTTTAAGTATTTAATAATAAACAAAAACAATTTTTTTTTGCTCCCACCATTTTTTTCTGATTTCTCGGATCTGAAGAGAAACCTTAAAAGTAGTCATTTTAAATAATCAATCATGGGTTATAAAACATTGCTTTTGAAGTTGCCAAGTATGAAGATTTCCCTCACCACAGACCCAGAAGATTTTTTCAAGGTTACCTTATTTTAAACCGATTTTTCAGCTAGATGTTAGGCCAAAATGTCGAAACTGTTGATTTTGGCAGACCGTGCATACGACCTTCATTAAATTGAAGCCGAAACCAATGTTTTGTTTATAGCTAAGTGAATCGGCAGTTAACTTTCGTTAATATTCCATCCCTTTCGTATCCCTACTGACATTCCTTTTCTCTTTTCTTTTAATAAAAATATTGTATGCTTGTAACTCGTAAACGATTAACTTTAGAGAAAAGTTATTGAGGACATTTCTCCAGACTGATCGCAAAAATCGAGAAAAAATGATCGAAGCGAAAAAATAATAATAATTACTTAATTAAAGCAAATGATATTCTGAAAAGTGGTCCGGCAAGAGCCGGAATATTATTCTTTTAGTTCTCAGTTGATACCTGTTCAAAAAGTGCTGTTTTTGCAAACTCAATTCTATCTAGAGCGTCTGGACGAAATCTCTTTCTGGTTTAAGAAAAAATTACAACAGCCACTGTGTGCCAAATTTCTGAATTTTCGACTTTTTGTCTAATTGTTGGAACGTATTATCAGCAAAAAAATACTAAACAATGTAGCTCAGGAGCGAAATAGAATAAAGCATCCAGAATAATGATTGTGTACAACGGGAATTACAATGTTGGTTAAAAGATGGAAAAGTTTCTTAATCGAATTTCTTTTAAAAAGGTTGACGGAACTGCTCCCTATTAGTATCTTTTCCTGATCTGATCTTTTACTCAGAAATGTATTATGAGACAAAAAAGAGGTATAAAGCCCAGAATCAAAATTTTTCTTTAATATTCAGTTTCGATAATCTTTATCATATCTTATATTCTATTTTATTTAGCCTCAAAGAGTTTGTGGGATAAATTTTGGCGTATACGAGTATCATGTTAAAAAAATAATTATGACTTGGCATTACATATAAACATTGCCATTAGGTGTTTCTTAAGTTCATTGCTTCAAACCTTGAGGAGCTGAAAAGATGTTTTTTAGAATAGGATTTTCTGTTTTTAGGTTGTAATATTTACGATTTTCAAAATAAAGTTGCATTGTACAGAATGCGAAAACCAAAAGTTAGCCTATTTTGTCCTAAAGAATAAGGTTGAAATCTCTTTAAATTAAACTAATCTCAAAATCTCTTTTAGGTTTTAGCAATGTTTTACCTTTAATTTGTTTAACCGATGTTTTTCAAATAAATTGCAATTTTTTCCGGACACATTTTTTTCACGTTCCATCAACTTTCTCTAAAGCTGATTATTTTAAAGTTATAATCGATTTAATGTCTGAAAAGCCCTAAAAACGGGTATATTAAATATTTAAAAAATCGGCTAAAAATTTTGAGGTTGTATATCTAAATTGAAGTTAAAACCTTACTCTCCATGACCCTGGAGAGTATTAGAGATTATTTTATTTTAAAGCAATTTTTAACCTTGCCTAAACCAAAACTGGTAAACTTTTGGTTTTCGCAAACTGTACTGTTATAGTGTAATGCCCAGCAAATTAAAACATGACATAGTAAGTAAAGATCTTGCTCTGCTAATTGTACTCCAGTAAACTAACTTCCACCATAGAGAAAACCGAACCTCAGTCTAATTGCCACCGCAAGAACATCAGCGATGCTCGAACAGTCCTGCAACTTTCGCGCCAAGCCGACTGTCAACAACAAACCAACCACACGCACGCACAATCGCACTGTCAAACACCACACACGAGATACGTGTGACTGAAAGCCGTGTGTGTGCGTTGCTGAATGAACTAAGCGATTTGGAATGTATTATAGCGCTAATATCCAACATTACAGTAACATTATACGATACATTACACTGTTGGCCGCCGCCGATGGAAACGCTACGCTATTGGTTGTTGGCAGCCTTAGGCCACGCCCGCTACCCCTAACTGTTGCCCGGCAACCGGTGGGCGGTAGCAGGGGAGCGAAATCGCCAGCTGATCACCACTGTTAGGAGAAATTAAGAGGGTGCCTCACGGATGGTTTTAGAAGGAGGAATTTTAATGCGAATCGAAATGTTTGTGGTCCTTTCAGCCGGATCTTTTACTTCTTCGGGTATAATTGAAGGGGTCGGCATATGGATATACTTTTCAACTGGTGGTATTAGGTACTTCTACGTAAAGTGACAGATAGTGATGATATAGATTTATTTAAGCCAGTTAAAGTACAAACATTTTTGGCAAGTCAATATCAGTTTATTAGTAAACAAACAAAAATGCTTAAATAAAGACATGCATACATTGTATGAATACATATTAGCGGCAACATAATAGATATTGAAAACGAGCAGGGTTAAAAATATAAAAAACATTGGATTAAAATAAATTAATAAACAGCAATTTTGACATAAAATACAAACTGGCTTTTCAATGAATCAAAATATTCTAAAGTAGTTAAGATTTATTCCAAGGTTTTTAAGTTTTTCAATACGGTGCCGTGGAATTGCTATTTTATGTTTTTCTAGTGTCATGATTATGCACGAATATCAGACTGTAGATCGTATTAATCTTGTTTGATCCAAATCACCTGATGAGAAATGATTAAGGCATACAATGTCATGATACCCAATCTCCTAAAGATGCTCCTACATCGTCGGCGTGTCTTTCTTTGACAATGCTCCACACTGTAGCTTTCTGAATTATAAAAACTCTGTAAGTTTGAGTGCGAAGCATTGTCCCAACCAGCTATACCTTAATTTAATTTTAATTAAAATAGTCCACAATATGATATAATGTCAGCATCTACGCAAGGGCGGATTCAGCATTTGTGTCAGGCGGGTCACAGGATTCATGTTCAGGAAAATATCCTCTTGGGGGGAGCATGGGGGGCTATGTGATTTATGCAATAATTCCAATTTAGAAGGGAATTTTTTATCGTTAACAAAATTAATTCCTTTCTTTTCTCTTGTTGCAAATCGATTTATAACTTCTTCCGTATCGACATGTACATCTTCATGGACATATACGAATGTGCCAGTCCAGTTAGGCGATACTCATAACTAATATCATGAGGGCATCTAATTTTTCCAAAAAGAATCGACAAAACACGTTGTTAAGTAACATTTTAAAAAGAAGCATGAGTGCTGGTGGCAACAACAATCCAATTCGAATACGAGAATTTTTGCACTCGCACGAATGTTTTTTTTTTTAATAAAGGCTCGCAACTACATCTTGAGCCTCCTGAGCGTAGAAAAGTACTTCTCTGCTATCGCTATACTAACTAGTAATGTAGCAAGGATACATAAGAACTATTTCATGTTAGGATACATTCCGGCACCCCAATTTTCAATAACCGAATATGCTACACTCGCTGCCATTTTGCGATCCACAGTCGATATTGATGGAAGGTAGGTATATAACAAAAAATAGGAAAAATTTATTTATGAATATATACGAGTAGGTATACATATAATATTTTCCTATTTTTTGTTATATACCTTTCTCCGCATGATCATTTTCTCTTTGTAGATCCTTTGGGCTTGAAGTACCACAGCAAAAGACTATAACCGGCCGCGTGGTTGTGGTTAGATGTCGCCTTGAATATTCGAGGTCTTCTAGCCATTTTATACTACAATGTGTGGGTTGGCCCTTGTTGGGGATTTCGTAAGTCATTTTTTCCCTCTGCATCTTTGTTTTCTCAGGTTACACCCGTATCCGGATGTATGGGCATGTGTATCTACTTTTGTTGTTACATATGTGCATTCATTTCGAGCCAACAAGCAGAAAACGTATTGCTCGGGTTACCTATCCTATTTTCTGCTAGAATCCACTTTCCCTTTTTGCGGATTTTGCCCATTATATATATATACATATATATATATATACGATTCATAGTTATTGTCGATAATAACTAGCTAAATGAAATACCTGTCTTTGGGGATATCGACAAATTAAGCAAAGTGTACCCTTCTGACTTACAAGAACTCAAGTTTTCGACAGGCTATGCTGTCATCTTCAGGAGCTAACAATAAAATAGTAAATAGCAAACCATGCTCAATTGATTAGAATTTAACTACTTACTCCGTCAATGAGATTGGTGCTAATGTTTGATGTTTTAAATTTAAATTGTTTTTGGAAACACATGGCTAGACGATATAAAAACTGGATTTACGCGGATTCTTTTTTAAAAACGGTGGAGTATGTTTTAATGGTAAAATATGGACGGATTGGGACAAACATTGTTGATTAAATAAAATTGCTTAAAAACTTCACAAATTCACATCTTGCGCTAACCTAGAATTATTGGTGTG